AGGTAAGGGGATTTGCTTTGGAGGGCATGTTTGAAATGGTTCTAGTTATCGTCTCAATCAAGTTTCAGAGCGTTACAGTTTTCCAAAATGTGTTTTTCCAATTTTTTTCTATCATTTTCGCACTAAGGGTAGTTTTTAACACACTCCGACGGCAGGTAAGGGGATTTCCTTTTGGAGGGAATGTTTGAAATGGTTCTAGTTATCGTCTCAATCAAGTTTCAGAGCGTTACAGTTTTCCGAAATGTGTTTTTCCAATTTTTTTCTATCATTTTCGCACTAAGGGTAGTTTTTAACACACTCCGACGGCAGGTAAGGGGATTTCCTTTGGAGAGAATGTTTGAAATGGTTCCAGTTATCGTCTCAATCAAGTTTCAGAGCGTTACAGTTTTCCGAAATGTGTTTTTCCAATTTTTTTCTATCATTTTCGCACTAAGGGTAGTTTTTAACACACTCCGACGGCAGGTAAGGGGATTTCCTTTGGAGAGAATGTTTGAAATGGTTCTAGTTATCGTCTCAATCAAGTTTCAGAGCGTTACAGTTTTCCGAAATGTGTTTTTCCAATTTTTTTCTAACATTTTCGCACTAAGGGTAGTTTTTAACACACTCCGACGGCAGGTAAGGGGATTTGCTTTGGAGGGCATGTTTGAAATGGTTCTAGTTATCGTCTCAATCAAGTTTCAGAGCGTTACAGTTTTCCGAAATGTGTTTTTCCAATTTTTTTCTATCATTTTCGCACTAAGGGTAGTTTTTAACACACTCCGACGGCAGGTAAGGGGATTTGCTTTGGAGGGCATGTTTGAAATGGTTCTAGTTATCGTCTCAATCAAGTTTCAGAGCGTTACAGTTTTCCGAAATGTGTTTTTTCCAATTTTTTTCTATCATTTTCGCACTAAGGGTAGTTTTTAACACACTCCGACGGCAGGTAAGGGATTTCCTTTGGAGAGAATGTTTGAAATGGTTCTAGTTATCGTCTCAATCAAGTTTCAGAGCGTTACAGTTTTCCGAAATGTGTTTTTCCAATTTTTTTCTATCATTTTCGCACTAAGGGTAGTTTTTAACACACTCCGACGGCAGGTAAGGGGATTTCCTTTGGAGGGCATGTTTGAAATGGTTCTAGTTATCGTCTCAATCAAGTTTCAGAGCGTTACAGTTTTCCGAATGTGTTTTTCCAATTTTTTTTCTATCATTTTCGCACTAAGGGTAGTTTTTAACACACTCCGACGGCAGGTAAGGGATTTCCTTTGGAGAGAATGTTTGAAAATGGTTCTAGTTATCGTCTCAATCAAGTTTCAGAGCGTTACAGTTTTCCGAAATGTGTTTTTCCAATTTTTTTCTAACATTTTCGCACTAAGGGTAGTTTTTAACACACTCCGACGGCAGGTAAGGGGATTTGCTTTGGAGGGCATGTTTGAAATGGTTCTAGTTATCGTCTCAATCAAGTTTCAGAGCGTTACAGTTTTCCAAAATGTGTTTTTCCAATTTTTTTCTATCATTTTCGCACTAAGGGTAGTTTTTAACACACTCCGACGGCAGGTAAGGGGATTTCCTTTGGAGGGAATGTTTGAAATGGTTCTAGTTATCGTCTCAATCAAGTTTCAGAGCGTTTCAGAGCGTTACAGTTTTCCGAAATGTGTTTTTTCCAATTTTTTTCTATCATTTTCGCACTAAGGGTAGTTTTTAACACACTCCGACGGCAGGTAAGGGGATTTCCTTGGAGAGAATGTTTGAAATGGTTCTAGTTATCGTCTCAATCAAGTTTCAGAGCGTTACAGTTTTCCGAAATGTGTTTTTTCCAATTTTTTTCTAACATTTTCGCACTATGGTAGTTTTTAACACACTCCGACGGCAGGTAAGGGGATTTGCTTTGGAGGGCATGTTTGAAAATGGTTCTAGTTATCGTCTCAAACAAGTTTCAGAGCGTTACAGTTTTCCGAAATGTGTTTTTTCCAATTTTTTTCTATCATTTTCGCACTAAGGGTAGTTTTTAACACACTCCGACGGCAGGTAAAGGGGATTTCCTTTGGAGAGAATGTTTGAAATGGTTCCAGTTATCGTCTCAATCAAGTTTCAGAGCGTTACAGTTTTCCGAAATGTGTTTTTCCAATTTTTTTCTATCATTTTCGCACTAAGGGTAGTTTTTAACACACTCCGACGGCAGGTAAGGGATTTCCTTTGGAGAGAATGTTTGAAATGGTTCTAGTTATCGTCTCAATCAAGTTTCAGAGCGTTTACAGTTTTCCGAAATGTGTTTTTTCCAATTTTTTTCTAACATTTTCGCACTAAGGGTAGTTTTTTAACACACTCCGACGGCAGGTTAGGGGAATTTGCTTTGGAGGGCATGTTTGAAATGGTTCTAGTTATCGTCTCAATCAAGTTTCAGAGCGTTACAGTTTTCCGAAATGTGTTTTTTCCAATTTTTTTCTATCATTTTCGCACTAAAGGGTAGTTTTTAACACACTCCGACGGCAGGTAAGGGGATTTCCTTTGGAGAGAATGTTTGAAATGGTTCCAGTTATCGTCTCAATCAAGTTTCAGAGCGTTACAGTTTTCCGAAATGTGTTTTTCCAATTTTTTTCTAACATTTTCGCACTAAGGGTAGTTTTTAACACACTCCGACGGCAGGTAAGGGGATTTGCTTTGGAGGGCATGTTTGAAATGGTTCTAGTTATCGTCTCAATCAAGTTTCAGAGCGTTACAGTTTTCCGAAATGTGTTTTTCCAATTTTTTTCTATCATTTTCGCACTAAGGGTAGTTTTTAACACACTCCGACGGCAGGTAAGGGGATTTCCTTTGGAGAGAATGTTTGAAATGGTTCCAGTTATCGTCTCAATCAAGTTTCAGAGCGTTACAGTTTTCCGAAATGTGTTTTTCCAATTTTTTTCTATCATTTTCGCACTAAGGGTAGTTTTTAACACACTCCGACGGCAGGTAAGGGATTTCCTTTGGAGAGAATGTTTGAAATGGTTCCAGTTATCGTCTCAATCAAGTTTCAGAGCGTTACAGTTTTCCGAAATGTGTTTTCCCAATTTTTTTCTATCATTTTCGCACTAAGGGTAGTTTTTAACACACTCCGACGGCAGGTAAGGGGATTTCCTTTGGAGGGAATGTTTGAAATGGTTCTAGTTATCGTCTCAATCAAGTTTCAGAGCGTTACAGTTTTCCGAAATGTGTTTTTCCAATTTTTTTCTATCATTTTCGCACTAAGGGTAGTTTTTAAACACACTCCGACGGCAGGTAAGGGGATTTTCCTTTGGAGAGAATGTTTGAAATGGTTCTAGTTATCGTCTCAATCAAGTTTCAGAGCGTTACAGTTTTCCGAAATGTGTTTTTCCAATTTTTTTTCTAACATTTTCGCACTAAGGGTAGTTTTTTAACACACTCCGACGGCAGGTAAGGGGATTTGCTTTGGAGGGCATGTTTGAAATGGTTCTAGTTATCGTCTCAATCAAGTTTCAGAGCGTTACAGTTTTCCGAAATGTGTTTTTCCAATTTTTTCTATCATTTTCGCACTAAGGGTAGTTTTTAACACACTCCGACGGCAGGTAAGGGGATTTCCTTTGGAGGGAATGTTTGAAATGGTTCTAGTTATCGTCTAAATCAAGTTTCAGAGCGTTACAGTTTTCCGAAATGTGTTTTTCCAATTTTTTCTAACATTTTCGCACTAAGGGTAGTTTTTAACACACTCCGACGGCAGGTAAGGGGATTTCCTTTGGAGGGAATGTTTGAAATGGTTCTAGTTATCGTCTCAATCAAGTTTCAGAGCGTTACAGTTTTCCGAAATGTGTTTTTCCAATTTTTTTCTATCATTTTTCGCACTAAGGGTAGTTTTTAACACACTCCGACGGCAGGTAAGGGGATTTCCTTTGGAGAGAATGTTTGAAATGGTTCCAGTTATCGTCTCAATCAAGTTTCAGAGCGTTACAGTTTTCCAAAATGTGTTTTTCCAATTTTTTTCTATCATTTTCGCACTAAGGGTAGTTTTTAACACACTCCGACGGCAGGTAAGGGGATTTCCTTTGGGAGAGAATGTTTGAAATGGTTCCAGTTATCGTCTCAATCAAGTTTCAGAGCGTTACAGTTTTCCAAAATGTGTTTTTTCCA